TAAATACTGCACATGAAATTAGAATAATACACATCATAATGAAATATTGCATGACAATGGGATATAACATTTGATATACTGTACATGAAAATGGAATATTGCACTTGAAACTGCAATATTACACATAGTAATGAAATTTTGCACATGATTATTAAATGTTGCACATAATCATTTCCTGCTGTCTGGTACATTTTTCTGTATCACTTAATGTATAAGAACCAGGAGAACATTCTAAATATAATGGAATATGTGCAGCGAGGCTCTCAGGCATTCTGTGTTGCTGTCAAATATTTATTCTCCTGCAGACCAACTTTCCTCATAAATATTATCCCTGAGGAGGCAACACACACTGTATACTGAACATGATTTAGTATTCTGTTCTCTTTTGTGTCATTTGTTGGCACCAGTAACTTTTTAAAATGTCCATGTGGCAACTTTTCGCATCAAGCCTAAATGAATTCATTTTATTTAATTTATGAAACCCTTGACTTTAATAGCTCAGGTGTGTCTCTGCAAGATTTATGGTAATATTTTTAAAGTTTCTGCACTCAGATCAAATCACGCATCTCGAAATATTGAGCGGGATTTAACGCCTGCATAAATACACATATTTCCACCATAAAGTGATGCAAAAAAAGAGGCAAATTGGTGCATAAAAATTCAGCAGAATGCATAAAATAAAGTGTTTGAACAGGGGTGGCTTTAGTCTGGCCCCGCCACATAACCGATAGTGAAATCTGCTGCAGGGCTGCAAACACTCAAAGAAGTGGGGTCACATCCAGTCACTACTACTGCTCTGGTGGAATTGTGGAAAATGAAAAAATGCTATCACTGATAATGACAAGTGCATAGACAACATTAAAATGCATCTGTTTTTGTATGTAAATAAAAATCTGCTTGTTTTTATGAGTTAAAATGAGCATGATTAAAGTTGAGCTGTGGATTTAGTTGAAGCTCTTGTATAGACGATTAAAGACTGTAGAGATAAAATGCATCTTCTGAAGGATTCTGGAAACAAACTGCTGAACGACACCAATCTGACCCAGAATCTGCCGCCAAAAAAAGGAAACAAAAGGCTGAATGGAAACAGTGTGGTGTCTCAACTAGGTGGGTGTCCTGAGCAGAACAAGGACACTTTTGACATAAGAGTCTTACATTTATTATCTTATGTCATTTAAATTGGAACTATCTTATGAGTTTTACCAACATTAAAAAAAACAACAAAAAAACATAACTTTAGCAATCATTCCACATTTTTAATCAATCAACGGTTACATGTTAAAAAAAAAAAAAAAAAAGTGAAGCCTTATATACCACATGAGTCCTCATGTACTTCCACTGGCAGTTTCGCCTGCATAGGAAACTGATCAGAATGATTTAGAAAAAAAAAAAAGAAAAAAAAACTTTCTGCCTAACAAAAAAATGATGAACTCAATAATAGTGATAACACGACATTGTGTCACCCCAATGTGAGTGGTGATCTCTGCCCGGTCACCCTTATTAAAAAAAATGTCAAATTCCAAAGCGCGCTACTACAGAATAAAACTGAACTTTCCGAGGCGCACCAGAAGGCAGCATCCAGCGTTGTCAAAAGGGCGTGAACTGAATCGTCTAATGACATGTAATGATGTGTCAAAAAGCAGCATCTTTTCCCAGCCGGAGAGGAAAATAACTTGTTTTTCATTTCATCATTTGGCCACCCCTGTGGGCATGTTTTTGCAGCCAGCTCTTGGTACTCTGGCTTAATGGCATGCCTTCTTAAATTATCTCTCAAAGGTTTTTCTTTTTTTTTTTTTCTTTCCCTGTTGCACTTGAGCAGACTTGGTTCAGTTACAGCTCTACAGATAGAACTAAAAACAGTGCAGATGGGCTTTTTTGTTATGTGGACAAAATATACAGTAGTAAGTGATGAATGGTAGACCTTTACACCTTTTCTTATTCATATTTTAGCAAGATCTGGAGCTGGATAAGCACCAGAGAGGTGAATAGGGACATCTGGTGGTCACATTTTCAGGATTTACTAGTGAAAGGAAGCAGATTTCCTCCACTTCACACTTTTTCTTCTGCAAAAAAATTGCTTTTCTAACCCCAGAGTCCCTCTCTCACACTTGGGTTGTTGATGTTGCAGTAGTATCTCTTCTTGAGGCGAAAGCAAACTGATGGACCTGTCACCAACTGGGATAAAAATAGGCAAAAGCCCACTAGGGAGAAGGAGAGAACTTTTCCTAGAGGCGCTGCTTTTATTGCAAAATATAAGTTTGGAATAGACCTTTGACTCCCAATAACCTTCACAGCAATGGCACAAAGTGAGCAGCGGAGGGAGAGGAGACACAGCCCAGACAATAAACATGTGATTTATTTTTTTACCTCGTTCGGAGGACGCTGCATATTGAGCAAGAGAGCGAGAGATGAGGGGAGGGGGACGAGAAAGAGCAATAAAGACGGAGATTTATTCGGAGGTGGCTCTCCTCTGTCACATGTGATCCCATGGGAGCTGGCAGGAGCCCTCAGGTCATATTTCCTGGCTGTGAAGAGGCTGCAGCTCCGCCCCTCCACCTCCGCCGAGACAATGGCCCCTGCCCCGCTTTTTCAGCTTGACCCCCGTGTTCCACCACACACTCACACTCTGCACACACTTTGAAAAAAAAAAAAAACAAAGCATCAGCAGACGTTATTTAATGTTATCCAGAAAAGGCAACGGGAATGATTTGTACGCTCTGAAAGGCAATAATCCTTCATGATGACTGCACCTGAGGGCTGCACAGGGATCACTGCACACACACACACACACACACACACACACACACAAAGACCTGAATATGATGGAGGTGACAGCTGTGTTACTGCTTATAAATGGGAATGAGGAAAGCAGGAGAGGACATGACAAGACATATGTCCCAATTTCCACGAAAGGCTGGCGCTTGACAGAAATATGGCTCTCTTGTGTAGAGTTCATTACTGTAAATAGATGTCCAAGGTTTTAGAAATAGAGAGAATAGCAGAAGATTACAGAGCTATTATATTTCTATATATGTAGTGCTGTTCACAAGTTGACATTTGCAAGGCGATGATGACGTCTTAATTGAAAGCAAGCAGCTTCCAAATCTTTCGGGCTCCTAAGATCAGGACACTCACATCCAGTGATCTTCATTTGTATTACTTTGATAAGGCTTTCAGACTTACTAACTCAGCCTGAGGCGGCGTGCTGTCAAATTAGATTAGGGACCATAACTGAATGTCAATGAATGCTGCCTGATAGCGGCTGAGCGCATACATTTCTCCGAGGGGGTGATTTCCCCCCCTTTGAGTGCGAGGATCGAGCGAAACGCAGAGCACTATGGAAAAATCCAGCCGGAATTAAATTCATTACATCCAAAGTATAATGTCAAACAGACACGTCGTGTAGGAGTGTGTGAGTTCTGAACTCTCTTTTTGTGTCTTTTTCCCTGTTAGGCCGGTCTAAATTTAGTGCAGTTAGAATTCATGGAGAGATCTGTTGCATTCTGCTCATAAAGAGGAAACTTCAAAGGGGGAATAATTCAATGTACAGAACCAACGGTGTTCTGAGTTTGTCATGACTCCAAACTGAGCCTATAATGTGCTTTCCTCGCTAAATATTTAACAGAGAGCCATAAGCGTTTTGTCACAACACCCTCGTGCTCTTAGCGTGGTATTTATACTGACAGTTGCATACCTTGGTGAGCTGCATATGGCTCCTGTGTCGAGCAAAATGCAAATCACTACAGAGATAAAACGGCCATGCATGCATAATACAAAGCCACATAGCAGGACTTAAAACAGAATCGCTAAATCAGAAATGGAACAACAAACAAACACAATGCAACCATGCAGCATAAATATTAAATGAAGGCATACGACGGCCTTAAGAGATGTTTCTTTCTGGCCTTTGACTAACACTCTGAGCAAATTGAGGGTAAAGAGTATGGAGGGCGAAAGCTGCCAAGAATCCACGTGTGATAGGGTTTATTTATGACCAAAAAGCTCACTTCTGATTGATTTCTGCCAGCGACAATCCAAAAGTAATGGATTTCACCTTTATTTACAATCTAATCCAGTGCAAAACTGCAACGCCTAACATGTGACATTTGCATATTCAATAGTGCAGTCGTTTGTGCAGCGTCAGCTCGAAAATACTGGCTGCCGGTCCCATTTTGCCGTTTCATTTCAATAATGGCAGGTTTATGACGCGGTTGGTGTCGGAAATCAATAACGTGCCATTTATCACCTTGTAGGCAGGATTTAATCGGTTGTTGTGAGCAGAGCACCCCACAGAGACCAGAAAGATTCTCAGGCCTCACTCTGGCCCAGCTCACTTGCTAACTTCCTTTTAGCTTTAATGTTAGTTAATAGCTTCTGTCTAGGCTGACTAATTCACACCAGATGCATGCAACTTCTTAACCAAACGAAAATGTGAGCAAAACACTAAATTTGAATTAACAAGCCTGATTTTTGCTGTTAATTTCCTCCATGTATTGCCATATTTCACGACAACACATGGGGAAAATTAATGCAAATTGACCGAAAAGCTGCAAATCTCCATTATCACACTGGTTTGTTTATTCTTAATGGAAGGATGCTATCACCACTGCCGCTGCTGAAGTTAATTACTCGGTTGTACACCAAGTGAGAAGAAACACACCCACTTCTCCTGTCACACTAAATCAGATGTGGTGTTAGAACACTGAAAGCTCATGTTATATTATTCCACAGGGATCTCAACTACAAATAAATTTTGCCGGCTGACAGAAGGGTGAGTGGTCTGTTGAAGGGCTGCGGATGAAAATAGTCGTGCACTTACCAGCGGCATCGTGGTCCTATAAAAGGCTGCATGATTTCCCTTTAAATCTTTCTAGAGTCACATTTCTAACCAGGGGATTTATTAAAAACATTGTTTATATTGTAAGACAGCTAACTTGCAAGGCTTGATGTGTCCCAAAGTCCAGTCAACCTGCCAGTGAAACAAATGAAACGTCTCCAAGTTCTTTAAAAAAAAAAAGGTGTTTATTTTATATAAAGATTTACAATATTTAACTTAGAATCAAATACGAATTATTATTGGCCTGTATACTCTCTGAACATCAGTCTGACCTGGCCCACACACCACACCAGCCACAGTCTTGCTACAGTACCTTGGCAACATACAACAACATCTGGCTCACAAAAATCTGGATTAACTGAAGCAGTAAGAATTTGTGGAAAACATATTAGATAATATTCAACTTCTCGTTTGGTGAAAACAGTTGTAAGAAAAGGAGGTTTAACTGGTTTTTGTTGAGTAAATCATAGTGCATCTGTGTTGAGGGTGACCTGGTTTAGAATCTGAAGCTGTGGTTGAGTATTGGGACAGAGAGAGAGCGAACCTGAGAGGACCAGATCTTAACCCACCAAAACAAAATGCCACTGAGGAGTACGACTGAACCAAGTAAAACATAATGCAGGCTATGCTATTAACTAATGTGACAATAACACGCGTGTCATTCACTTACGGACGAAGACTTTCAGAAACATTTACAGAACCTTGAAGCTTGACTTTGGTTAATAACAACATGTACTCGATAATGCACTTCTGAATGAACACTGGTTTAGAAAATAGTGTCAGGTGCTGATAGTCAAGGTATGAAATACAGTCTCGAGTGTACATCATGCAAGTGCACCTGAAACACTGTTAGCCGTGTGGGTGCAACACTTCATGCATAGATCCTTCTGCCGATGATGTGCGTCATGGGAAGACATCAAGTAGCTAGCAGATTGTCACAGCTGCCAGCAGCTCCACTGCACAGAACATTATTCATCGTTATCTAAAAGAGAGAGAACACAAAGAAAATCATTAGAGAGGACGGATCATGTCTTCAAGTAGTTAAGTGGAGCTGCAACTAAGGAATATTTAATTAGTTGTTTGATCTATAAAATGGTGAAAATGTTGATCAGTGTTTCCCAAAGCCAAAGATGACAAATTCATGTTTTTTTCACACCTCAAAGGTATTCAGTTTACTGCCGTAGAGGAGTAAAGAAACAAGGAATTATTCAGATTGTAAAAGCTGAAATAGAAGAACTTAGACTCCTGAAGGTATGATCGCGCTGGTCAGTGAGGACATCCATCACTTTGGTCCAAACTAAAAAAATCTGAACAGCCATTTGAAGGATTACCATTAAATTCGAGAAATTCAAAGATATTAAACTATGAAAACCTTTATTTACAATATAGCAAACATAGTAAGAAAATAAGCTATAGGCACACAAGCAAGAAAATTGGATACAACTGACAATTTTAAAAAAAAAAGGGAAAATGATTAAAATAATTTAAAAAAAAACATTCTGGATTTTAAAATCAAAAAAACAAATGAATCAACTAAAACAGGAACAGCTGGAGGTAAAATAAGTCATTTTGTACAGATATTCATGATCATGATTAGATTAGAGGGTAAATCCCACTGTTCCACTGTTTTCATTTTTGTTATGAAATATGTCAGTTTATACTTGGTGGTAACTACAGTTTATATTTCCAACATTCACTCATTACATACTGTGATAAAGTACCTGTGGGTTTCTGTGTTATGGGGACCATAGAACATGTACATTAAGAGTTCTTCTCCCTCTAGACTGTTTAAATTTTCCCTGGACTGAATGGAGCAAATTCTGGAAATGCAGAGTTATGCCAGCTGCTGCTGCTTTTCAAGTGATCTGGGATGACAAAAATGTTTTGTGAAACAGTGTGCCTCATGTGATGATCACAGAGGTTGCAAAACCCAATGAAACCAATATGACCAAAAAAAAATAAAAAATCACTTCACCACCCAGCTCTGTTCCTGAGGGTTTGGGTCCATGGATTTATTTAAAAATTTTTAAAAAAATTAAAAATTATGCTGCAGTACTATTTTTAAAGTATTTTTAAAGGTTGTTTAAAAAGTATTTAAACAACCTTTGAAAGCATTGTCATGACATTTGGCATTCATTTACTGTCTTAAATGACACTAAAAACATTTCCATCAGCCTCAGCTGTACTTTGGAGTTAATGCTAATCAGCAAATGTTAGCATGGGGTCACAGTAAACATCCATTTGCTACCTCGACAAACATTTTCCTGATGAGTTTATGGTCTCAATTGCTAGTTTCAAGCCTTCTTCAATACAGCTTGGTGCTCATTTTGTAAATTATGGTGCCAGTTCGAGTAAAATAGTCAGTGAAGCAGGGGATGGTTTAGGGTGTGGTGACCTTGTGACTGACTAGCTGTAGGGGTTTGTGTAGTGTCCACGAGTTCTCGGCAAGATCCACCCATTGTTCGTCATGTCCGCTTTCAAAAAAAAATTCAAAGTGACCACGGCTAAAAGCCAAATTCGAGGCTTCAAAACAGTCATCCACAAACCAATGGGTGTTGTCTCGGTGGCTCTTTTTTATACAGCCTATGCAAACATCAGCATTTTAGCATTGTTATTGTAAGTATGCTGATCTTAGCATTTAGATCAAAGCACTGCTGTGGATCAGACTCTTGTTAATTTTACAGGTCAGCTCAAGGTTTGGCAAACGGGTGCCGGCTGTCTATAAAACATTCCGTCGAAAAAGAAAATGTCTCTCTTCAGTTGACTTTTTGATGCTCATTTGCCAAAACATAAATGCAGCCAACATTTAATTGGAAGAACAGGCACCAGAATTGACCTACAAACTCAAAGCATGTCTTCTCAAACTTGAAAATAGGGACTTAATGCGACGGATGATAAGTTTGTGACAGTACTCACTAGACCCTAATGCATTACAACAGTATATGGGTTTGTTCTCTGATAGCTGCCTTAAAAATATTTCAAACACTACTGTATGGGAGGGAACCATAAGATACATCTCACAGATCTTGTGACAAGTCCTCCAGGGAGATATTTGACATTTGCATCCTCCATCTCTACTTCAGAGGATAGTAAAAAATAGAAAAACAGAAGAATTGTCAAATAGAGAAGTTGAATGAGAAAATGTATCTGAAGGCAGCTCCCATCCTAAGGGAAACCTTTCAAGCTCAAAAGAAACACTCCCCCTCCTCTAACTTTCTATTTCTGCTGTGGCCCCAGTCTGACAACAGACTTAGCAAAGAGCGAGACAAAGCAGACACACAGACTAAAGGCTGTGTTTTACATCTACTTAGTCCCTTCACGACTTGGTGAAGCTGCAGCGATGTGAGTAAAGAGGATAGGATTTCAGAGATGAGATTAAACAGTCACTGTACTCTGACACAGCTGACCAGAACAATGAAAAGAGCTACACATGTATTCCTGTGGTTTACACAAGTGACTGGAGGAAGGAGTGTTAAAAAAACATCAAATGGAAAGAAAAAAAGGTAAAGACAACTGAACTGATTGTTGCAGTGTGTGCCAGGTTCTAAACAAAAAAGCAAGTTGATTTTTAAAGACACATTGGAAATGACAGAACAACTTCCAAACTGACTACTGTCACAAACCTTCTTGATATGCACCATCTGCCATCACTATATGAAGGATGTTGGGATACAGATGCTGGTGTTCAGTTCCCAAAATGTTTAGAACCAAACTGGAGCCCAGGTCAATATTCTCATCTTCATCTTCATGTATAGCCTAAAGCCCCAAAACAACATTTATTCAGTTAGACGTAGCACTTAGCTGTGAGGTTGCATGAAGGAACTCCAGATTGTAGGGAGAAATGATAAATATTTCATACCTTAATCTTATTGTAGGCCTCAATGAACTTCTCAAAACCCATCTGCTGCTCCAGGTTGAAGCGAAGCTCTTCCAGACGGCTGAAGATGCTGTCATGATGCTCAGCTTCCCCGACCTGGTCCTCTCCGCTGCCGTCTAAAGAGGAACAGAATGTATTATTTCTCACAACACTGTTTCACTTTTGGAGTTGATCACGCTGAAGCTGCTTGAATTGCAAAATAACTGTTTTTTTTTTTTACATGGCCACATTAAAACCCACAAATCATCCGACATAAAATATTGAGAAGAGAAAAATTAGCAACCTAATGAAAATTCTGACATAAAAAGAATTAACTTGAAGAAAACAGTTTTTTAAGTCTTCTAATTTCCCAAACCCATGACATCCCCTCCCACCTGAATGCCATTCTTCATTGAGCTGGCTGGTGTTACTGTGGTTTTCTTCTCCCACACCATTGGTGAGCAGCTCCCCTGCCTCCTCATCACCAGGACTCCCATTTGAGCATTCTTCTTCTTCCTCATCCTCCTCCTCTTCGTCCTCCTCGCCCTCTTCGTCCTCCTCTTCATCCTCTTCTTCCTCATCATCCTCATCTTCATCGTCATCTACAGCCATCTTGTTGTTGTCCTGGTCCATCTCAGCTGCGATCCTGTTGAAAAGCTCCTGGTCTCCACCCTCCGGAGGGTTTCCATTAAAGTCTCCTGAGCCGACCTCCGGAGAACTCCTCATGATGTCACCCTCCTCTTGCAGCAGCCTCTCCATGGAGGCCCTGATGTCTCGCAGATCTTCGTCCTCATATGCACTAGTTAACAGAGCACACAGTACGCCATTACCTGGCTGTTTTTATAGAGTTTCTTTCCAAAAACAGAAATCTGTGTCGTTTTATAATGTTATGTCACACACTTTGAAAATGATTGACAGAATGAGACTGGAGCCAGACATCTGTCACTATAAAATTACCTGCCATCTCAAGACTGACTGTGGAAATAGGTTCAGAATGAATAAGGATTTTACATTGAAACTGTGCACTTACTGACAAGGTACCCACACCAACACAGAACATGATTTGTCCAAAAAAAAAAAAAAAAAAGTGGTGGGGTCTGAACATGTCTTTGCTTTAGAGAAAGCATTTGTGTTGTCTTACTCCTCAGTTTCTGACTGGTCATCATCTTTGGCTGCCTCATCCAGGTCCTCGATTTCCAGGTTGTTGTCTGGAGCAGCATTAGCCCCACTAACCACTGTGGTGTCCTTTGGGGGGCTGAAGAGTCGGCTGAGGTCTGGTAGAGAGCAGGTCCGCAGCATCTGCAAACACAGTGATGTGGAATACTTTGATGGGATCAGAAAACTCATTACAGACAAAGCAGGAATCAATGGAAAGGGAAAAAAAAAAAAAAGAAGGAAAAACTCCATTGAAAGTGCAAATGTATGACAACAAAAAGTTTACATAGGAAACAGACAGGTCAGTGGAATGGGCTGTGGTACTGTTCACATTTCATGTAACTCTTAGTGTGTATATTCAAATTTCGAGCTCAGCTCTGCAGATCTCAGTGTCCCTGTTGAAGGTTATGAAAGATATAGGTTGATGGATGCTCTCTCTGTCCTATCACACCCACTGCAGTTTCAGACTGTGTGATTAATGATTCTGGCTCTATTTCAGCCCCCCTCATTAATAAAAGAAGACTGAAGTCCTACCCAAAATACCACACAAGCCTCTATATAACAGCAGGCAGAAGAACAAGTGGGAATTTCCTGAAACGCCTGAACACTTTAGCAGCTAATACTATTATTTCATACTTGAGACCTTTTCTCATTATGCAATGCAATTTCCAGACAATGCTGAAAAAGTGTATTGTTGTGCCATTAATCACCTTAGGGTTGTTTGCATCAAACATGCCGGTAGAGAGACCGATGAGGAGGGCATCCTGGTGTTTGGAGCGCAGAGGTGAGACGGAGCGTGAGCGAGAGGCCAGAGAAGAGGATGAATCATCCATGGAGGACTGGGCTGAGAGGATAGCAAGGGCAGCGGTGCGTCGGTGGGCTGGGGAACACAACTTCATAAATAGGGGCTCCTCACACTGTGCTAAGCCTGAGGAGCCGGAAGGGAGAGCAGATTTAATTAAGATAATAATTAAGCTGAATAAAGTAGCTTTGGCTCAATGCACATTAATCTCACCAGATGATTCAGTTGGTTTCTCTGCAATCTTCTCAGTATCCTTGGTGCCTGTTGGTCTTGTAATGCCCTCTGGTGGCCTGCAAGAAAAACACAGTTGGAGCACAATAAACTTGAGGTCTTGAAATGTTCAAACTTCTTTAAAATGTTTGTGTTTTATTCTTCTTGTGATTTCTAAATACAGATGCGACCTTATTTAAAAGGGGATAATTGTTTCCTAATTTTCATTTTGTTGTGAAAGGTGATATTTCTGATTTAAATAGTTTAGAAAGATGATAGTTGTTTTACCGTTGGACTTCCTGCTCCCATGCTTGCTGTACCTCAGCTTGGGGATGCGAGGCCTGTTTAGGACCCTCTTCCAAAACCAACGACTCCAAATCAGCTGGATCTTAAAGGAAAATCAAGTCAGATTGGATTTCACTGTACTGAAAATACACAACAAGGTATCTGATCAATGTCAGGTTGAGTGACATACTAACCCTGGGGAATGCTGGGTGGCAGTGTCACTGTTTCCTTTGCGCTGGCCACAGACATTTCCTGATGTGAAGCCTCATTTGGAGCTGCAGGGCTCTGATCCACAGCAGAGGCCAACACTTCTCTAGGCGTTCTCACAATGTCAGTTGCTGCTGCCGCTTGGCTAGGATTATCTGGGAAGAATAGAGACCATAATGAATGAATATACACAAACACCCTAGACGGCCTCATTAGGAGTGTAACTCAAACAATTAAATTATTTATGTGTCCTTGTGTCACCCACTAAATGCAAAAACTCAAGACATAATCAATGCAGTGCTCTGTCACCTGCAGCTAAAGAGTAATATTTCCAAGAGCTGTCACAGAGTCATAGTGACAGCTGAGACAGACTGTATCCGTATTTCACACCAAATGAAGAGAAAACCTGCAAGTAAAAGTGATAAAAAAAATCTACTGTCTCAAACATCTGTTGTTCCTTTCTGCGGTTGTTATTATACAAAAGGTCTGACCCGAGGCCTGAATCTGATTACATTTCTGCCAAGTGCAGAGAAAAGTGAAAAAAACAATGACACAATGAATAAACTCAATGAAAATAATCACACTGACTAATGCATTATTTTTATTTATTTTTTTAAGTAGAGGGAGAATATTTGAATAATGAATTAAAGTTTACCCTGCTTTTGCTACTGAGTGTATAATAAGGAACATCAAGAGTGAATGAAGACTAACCAGGACTAGAAAACTCCTCCTCACATATTGTGACATTCTCCAGCTCCTGGGTGACTGGCTGAAGCTCTGCCTCCTGAAGCACTCTCAGCACCATAGAGTCTGGACTCGCTTTCCACACCTTCCTGGGAGCTTCTTCCTCCAGCCTACCCATCACTATAACTTCACCCACTGTTTGCTCTGAGATGAAACAGA